GGGCCCTCTCGTGTGTCCGAGCCTGGGACGTGACACGTACAAGGTGAATCTTTATACCCCGTGGTCCATGCAAAACCAGTCCTTCATCTGGTTTGCACAGTCACCTATCAAAAACACAAAACTGGAAAATAACAACCTTCAGAAAATTCTGCTAAGTGTTACTTCCTAAGCATTGCTTCCACGCTTCTCTCTAGCCCAGTGCATAAGGTTGGAAAAGGAAACTTGGGTTCTCTAGATTGACCTTTGAAATGTTAGGGATGTTTTCTTGTATTCTCCTCCTGTTCAAAATTGTGCTGCCTTTCATAGGCCTAGAATCGCCTCTTCTGGCTGTTACTGCTGCAGTAAGTGCTTTCTGCAAAGGTGGAATTTCACTTTTATTCTGGGTTTAGCCCAGCCGCCAGCCCAGGAAGCTTCTAACTTTGGGGGTGGAGGGAGAAAGCAACATATATTTTGCCCAAGAAAACCCCTTGAAGACTATTTCTCTTCCCACAACATATGTTTTGTATCAGCAGCAGTTAGACACGAATGCTTCGACTTTCTAGGAAAGCAGTTTTTAAAAATCTTTATGCATCTTCCTCCTCCGTGTCATGAATTGGCTTTAAGTTGTCTTCAAATAGAATGAATGGTGAGAAGAACTTACGATGAAAACAGAAGAAGTATCCGATGTTGAGAACTGGGCTCAGTAATGTGCAAACCCAAGGTACCAAGGTAACTGGAGAGGGAAGGAGCGAGCCTCGTCGCGGCCGCCCGTCGGGGCTCCGCTGGCCGTGTCGCAGCGCCCGCGCGCGGGCTGGCGCCGCTGCCTTTTCCGTGCAGCTCCTGCCCGGCACCCTTGTTCGCCCGCGCTGGTGCGGAGCTGCCCCAGGCCCAGCCAAGGGGCGCTTGAGCGGGGCGGAAGGAGAACCCTTAGTTCATGAGTTAAATAAACAGGGCGTCCCGGGATAAACAACTCAACCGGAGAGAGAAGAAGCCATTGCCCTTGGGTAGAGGTGATGGTGCTCGCTGGAACTAAGCTACCCGTGAGCAGAGATCGCTTCCTGGGGGATTCCCTTCTCCCGACAAATGCAATCCCATTTATCTTGTAGGCTTCAGCCTTTAGGGGGCTGCTTTTCCTTTCTTTTTAATGCTTAGAGATGGGTTAGTACAGGTACAAAAGCTTCTGGATAGCTGAACTTGGGTATGGGAGCAGCTGGAAGCCAGTGAGCTGCTAAATCCAAGCGCAGTTTTTGGGAACGGGTTTGGGGTGCACGTGTGGGGCAGCGGGGTGGGGGCAGTGGGGTGCAGCCCCACGTGCAGGCGTCCCCACGCCGCCAGCTTGCTTCTTCCAGGCCTTATCTCTGGTCGCTGGGTTTCCTGCAGCGGTGGTAGGTTCTGATCCGTTGGTCTTTGTCTCTCTACGGAGACGTGTTCCTGCTTGCAGTGTTACAGTGGGATCTTTTCCCCCCGCTAACTGTTACTGGAATATTGATGAAATCCACCGACTTCCAGAACAGCCCTTCGTTTTGATATTGCTGCCGTGTCTCCTGCTGCGGAATGCTTTTATATCCCAACTTTAACCTCGGCTTAATGGCTTGAAGCTTGCATGTGTCTTGCATTTGAGGTAATGCAGCTGCGCTAGAACTAACTTAATCTGGTTGTTTAGCGTAACAGAAACAGTGTCATATACTCGTGCTGTTTAATAAAATATACACAGGTAATGGGCAAGTTGCTTGTTTCAGTCTAGGCTGCTTTGAAGAACCCAGTATCCGTCCACCCGAGCAAAGGTGTGTGTTTTCCTGTTTAGTGGACTCCTGATCCGGCACGCGGAGCGCGGGTGCTTCCGCTCGCTTCCCGGTGGTGGTGCGGGCGCGCGGAGGTAACTGCCGGCTCCCGGCGCGCTGCCGCGTGCCGAGCTGCTTCGGCGCCCGCTGCCGTTCCCGGCTCCACGTCCCAGGGCTGCGCTTGGTCCCGGTGCGGGTGGAGCGGCCCAGCTCCAGCTTCGCTGTGTGCCGTAGAGGTAGCTCTGCCTCCCCCTCGTGCACCGCTGCGCGCCCAGCACTGCGCTCATAAAAACGTGTTTTTGTTTCTCCTTTAGGTTTGTCTTATCTGCCAAAGGCCATTTTGTTTTTGCTTCCTCTGGATTCCTTCCCCCGCGATTGAAGCGAATTCCGCGTGGATTATGGGCAGAGCCCTGGCTGGGAACCGGGATAGCTGCCGTCCTGTGCAGACATTCCGATGATTTCTCTAGGTCACTCGCCTGCACTGTGTCTGTTTCCTCAACTGTAAATCATGGGTAATTGCCTCCCCTGTAGGAAAGGTTTCGGGATCTACTAGTAATTGTGTGGGAGCAAAGTGCTAAGGGCAGCGATGATCACTTGGACCCAGCCTAGGCCGGCTGCGCCGCGCGTGTCCAGGGAAGGCGCCGCGCGTGTCCGGGGAATGCACTGCGCGTGTCCAGGGAATGCTGCCGCGCGTGTCCAGGGAATGCTGCCGCGCGTGTCCAGGGAATGCTGCCGCGC